ACTCGACCATCCGGCTCTGGGACCTCGTCGCAGGCACTCAGCTGCCCCCCTCCTCCTCCCCCCCGCCTCTCCCCAGGCCGCGCCTCCGCCGTTCTCACAAACCACAAGAAGGCTGTCCGCTCTCTCCTCGTCCACCCCACCGAGTACACCTTCTGCTCCGCCTCGGCCGACAACCTCAAAAAGTGGAAGTGCCCCGAGGGCAAGTTCCTGCACAACATCACCGGCCACAACTCCATCATCAACGCTCTCGCCATCAACCAGGCGCACCTCACACCACGACCCACGACCCGCACCTCCGGCTCGGCACACACACACACACACACACACACACACACACACACACACACACACACACACACACACACACACACACACACACACACACACACACACCGCCCAGCCTCCCCTCCCGCCCTCTTCTCCGGGCGCCGGCTTCGCGCGCCGCCCACGCCCCCCCCCCCCCCCTCCGACAGGAAAACGTGATGGTTGCTGGCGGCGACAACGGCAAGCTCCACCTGTACGACTGGAAGACGGGCCGCCACTCCCCAGACGCCGACGACGGAACGACGAATCACAACTCACCTCCCCAGGACGGTGACTCCTAGGCTACAACTTCCAGACGCCGGAGACAGTCGCGCAGCCGGGCTCGCTCGAGTCCGAGCGCGGGATCTACTGCGCCGCCTTCGACCAGTCCGGCTCGCGCCTCATCACCGGCGAGGCGGACAAGACGGTCAAGATCTGGAAGGAGGACCCCGAGGCGACGGCAGAGACGCACCCTGTCAACTACGAGCCGCCCCGCGAGCGGAAGCGCTACTGACGCCGCACCGCGCTCGCCAGCCCCTCGGGTGGCGCGGCTCGGCTCGCAGGTTTTACGTCCCAGGCGGGCTAGCCAGGGGCCTGCAGCCGCGAGCCGGCATGAGGAGCTCACGGCCCCCAGTGCAGCGCCGTCATGGTCCCGCTGGGTGCCACTGACCGCGCGCCGCCGCCGCACACATCGCATGTGTGTGTCCGCATGCATCACACTCGCGCCGCAGCTCTGGGTGTGGCGCGTCTTGTGGGAGCTCTCGTGCGCGCGCCCAAACCGCCATGGGGCCCAGCTCGGACGCATGATACATTGTAGCTACCAGTAGTATAACCAACATGCTATACGCTGGCCAGAAGCGCAGAGTCTCACACAGCGCTCGCGAAGAGCGCGAGCGCGGCGCCCGTGGACCCGCGACCCGGCCGTTGACTGCGCTTGCGGTGGGGCCGAGCGTTTCTCGCGCAACTCGCATCCCCCGCGGGGACCCCCCCCCCCCACAAGCCCGCACATAAAGCCGTATGTATCTCGCACCGCATGACTCATGAGCCACATGGAGGATGGAGGTCAGCGGCGCGCAGTGCCTCTCTCGCAGGCTGATTTTGGCTGTTTTCGAGCTTGTTTTTGTTTTCAGACTAGGGGTCCCGAGCCCCTTAGAGGCGGCGGGCGGGCGCCCACAGACCGAGAGATCAAAAACGCTCGGCCTGGGCAGTCCCCAGTAGTCGTGTTGCACCGCACTCTACATGACCACACATGATCCGTTCTGCTGTTCCACTGCCGCCTTGATGGCGTCGAGGCGGTCCTCCGATACTCTGTTCCCCTTCTCGAGGAGCAGCACGTCGGACGGGTGGAGCGTCGCGCCAAGGTGAGCGTCGAGCGGCAGGTCCGTCCGCAGCACTTCACCCTCTAGTGTAAACAGGTTGAGCTTCTCTGGGCTGCCGACCAACCGGCCTCGGTCGAGCTGGAGGCCGGCGTAGGCAACCGCATCCTCGACTACCCGGCTCGTCGCCTTTGTCCGGTCGAAGAAGAAGTGCGCCGGCCGCGCCCGCTCACTGTCGGGGAAGAAGACGGAGAGGTAGATGCGCTTATCCGGGCTGATGCGCGCGTCGCCGCGTGCGTTCCTCGCGCTGTTTGAGAACGTGTAGTGAGGCGGCAAACTGGGGCCGAGACAGCCGGCGCAGCAGGCCATTCGGCCGGGTCGTGCCCGCGGCGCGGGCGGACAAGAATCGACAAGAAAAGAATTTCGGCAGCCACACTGGGCACAGGACTGGGCACGGGACTGGCGCGCACTGGCACTAACACATTTTACAACCCCGGGGTCGCACGACACGATTCACGCGACAGGCGAGGCGCGGGCAAGAAAGAGAATTTATAACAAAAGACTCCTCGCACACCACACCCCTCTCCTTAAAATCCCTGTGTGGTGGCGGCGTGCCGTCCTCCCATCCCTCCCTTGGGTTGTCTCTTTTCTTTCTTTCTTTTTTCGCACAACACTGGGCACGGGACTGGCGCGCACTGGCACTAACACAGGAAGAGAAAGCGGAATAGAAGAACATAGCGCAGTCTCTCATGTGTCATGACAAGCGATCCCACGATTGCGAATGTGGGGACTACATGATTACATGAAGGGTGGAGGGGCCCGTCTGCAGAGCTACGAGAGGCGGCGCGGGCACCCCCCACTGGGGCCGAGGACAAGAAGCCGTTTGTCGCTTGCTTGTTCTTTTGCTTGTTGATCCAGTCGGTACGCTCCTTGCGCGCCTGCTTGTTGATGTTTCCGGCGTCGCCCGCCACCGCCGCCTTGCCCTTGGAGATCTGCTGCGTGTGGTGGACGACGAAGGAGGAGGCGCTCGCCGACGCCGCCCCGTACACCGTCCGGTCCGTGTTGGTGCCCGCCGCCTCCTTGGCGAACACGTGGAGGAACTGCTTGGTGGGCGGCGCAATGCCTCCCAAAGTTTCCACGAGCACCAGCCGCGTTATAGCTTTCTTGAACCACTTCGCGTCGTATAGTACTGCGCCCCCATCCACTTCCAGCCCGTATCCGTCTTGACCCACCCCTTTCCAATACGCGTGGTCTTTGACCCATCCCTTTCCAGTCGAGTGGTCGAGCGGTCCGTCCACCTGACGGCCACGCTCCTTGCACCCCACGACTCCCGTCAACGCCTTGTCCAGCGTGTTTCCAAACCCGTAGAGGTGGCCAACCGATGCCACATTGCCACCCTTTTCCCACGAGCCTCTCCCCGACGTCGTCGACTTGATGAGAGAGTTCCAGCACTTGACCTCGTAATGCACGTCCCGCATCGTGGCGAAGTCGCCGCCGATCTCTCGCAGATGTCAGTCACGGACGTGTCGTTGAGGTGCCGCGTCACCTCGGGCTTTTCCTTATCCCCGAGGATGATGCTGCCAACCGAGCGCGCCCGGATGGCATTCTGGGCGGCCCTTGCACCCCGTTGTGCTTGGAGGTGCGGTCGCCCTTGTTGGAGTTGGCGAGGAAGTCGCCCTTGTACTCTCCCACCGTGACGTGCTCGCCCGCGGCAGCCTTCTCGACGAGAGTGGGCGCAATCACCGACAAGTAGAGCCCGTGCCTCTGTGCGCTGTATCGCCGTCAGTGGCCGGAACATCGCCGACACCATATTTTTCGACTTCGTGTGTGGTGGAGTCCATCAAAGAAAGAAGGAAAAAATGTCAAACTCTCTGAGGCGAGATGGGATTTAGGGACATGTGTCCCGCCCTGCACGATCTTGGTGTGAGGGATCTTCAATGCCAGTCTCAAGAAAGAAAATGAAAAAGCTGCGCGCGCGCGCCGGGCGCGACACATTCCACCGCATTGCCGAGAAGAGACCCACCGGCCACCGGTTTAGCGTTTTTGGCGCGGGGGTGACCGGCTATTAGGATGTGGTCGGCGGCGGTGCGGACACCTCCCCCTCCCTACCTTTCCTCACCGACCCGCCGGCGCACAGGAAAGCCGAGAAGCACAAACTATCGCCGGCGTGCAACGCCTCGCGCCGCCAGCCGCGTGCTCGAGCCCGCGTCGAGTTGGGTCCTAGCAGCTCGCCAGCACCAAGATGGATGAGGCCCGCCGCCTCGACATCTCTCAAAAGTCGTCCTCCAGGTCCTCCTCCGCCTCGCGCGCCGCCACCCGCGCGCCGCCGTTCGTATTGACATCCTCGCACATGTCTATCCACTCTGCGTACACGTCGATCGCCTCAGAGAGACGCGTGATGCGCGACTCGTGACTGGTCCCGCACTGATCGCAGCTGATTATGCCCTGCGAGTGCTCGTAGTCCATCTTGACGCTGCACGACTCGCTGTTGCCGCAGAACGGGCAGTCAAAGACTGTCGCGACCTTCGGCCGCGCCTTCTTCGGCGGCGGCTTGGCCTTTTTGCGCTTGCCCCTGAGGCACGGAAGGGGAGTGAGCCGGGAGTGCGGGCTCGGCGGCCGCCACACGGTGAATGCGCGGTGCTGTGCAGTGCAGGCCGCGGACTCACATGGCGTCGCTCGCTGCCGAAGAAGAAGAAAAAGAATTCACAGATGGCGGCTCGGCCGCTCGGGCGCTCCCGAGCTCAAGGCGGCGGGCAAGGCGCCGGACGGCTACGGCGACGATGAGAAGAAGCGTGCCATCTTCATGGCCTGGAACTCGCACGACGTACGTGAACGGTGAGGCGCTGGGCAAGCCGGTTGGGGGCTACGTCACCTCAGTCCACCACAACCCCGAGGACTTTGAGCGTGCATGCGCCATGCGATGCGGCGGACGGCAACTTCGAGCCGGTTGGCGACTCTCGCATTTGCCTCGGCTCTCCCCTGCCCTTGCCCGCACACTGACGCGCCTTCCCTCCGCTCCTTCAGATGCACCGCTTCGCAAAGGGCCTCAATTCGAGCGCGTCTCCGATGAAGGAGCTGCGCCGCAAGGCGAACGATAGCGATCCCGAGCAGGCTCTCTGGATGGAAGCGGCTCTCGAAGAAGCCGCTTGGGGCGTTGGGGAGATGGTGGTGCAGTACGTCTCCAAAGTCAACCAGAAGGAAGGACGCAAGGGGGCGGCCAAGATCGTGGGCGAGCATGCGGTGAATAATGGCGCCAACCTCGGCTATGAGATTGCCTTCTTCCGACGCGGCGGACGGAAGACTACTTCGCCACGGGGCTGCAGCTCTGAGCTCCGAGCGACAGCTCTTTCTTTCTTTGAGCTTAGCCTTCGATGTTCTTTCTTACTACAACCTCGTTTTCTGTAAAATTCTATTCAAGTGCGAGGGAGTTTTGTTGTAAGATTCTATTCAAAGATTAAATTCTCTTCGAAGGCGGGCGAGTCCTGACTGATAGGTCGATCTGCGCGAGTCCTCCTCATGCCGAGTCCGCCGTCTTCGCCGCGTGCTCCGCGCATCGGCATCTGTGGCTGTATTTTCGGCCGGCCATGCTTCGCTATCTCTTCCCCAGCTTCATGGCGGCGCAGCCGGAGACCAACAGAGGTGCCCTGCGCGACGTCTTGCTAGACGCGATGGCCTCAAACGAGAATGTGTCAGTGCAATTCGAGGCGGATGTGCGCGACATCCGAGCGAACGGCGCCGGTGCTGATCTTCTGGACGGTGCTGGCGGACACCTCGGGACCTTTGACCTCGTCGTCGATGCGATGGGCCTGCACAGCACGCTCCGTCAGGCGTGCACGACGCCACCGACGGGAAGAAGCCGACAGGGACAACCATCATACACGGCATGATCAACGATCCGGAAAAGTGTTGCGGGCCAGCCCTGCTCGGGCGGCTATCCCGGTTCGGAACCGTTTGCAGTGCGGGCCGCACCACATCTTCATGCAGCGCTATGGCGCTGGTGCCAAGGACAACCGCAAGAGCTTGATGTACTACCTGCACGACGTCAGCGAGGAGCGTCTCTATGCCGAAATGGGGATCCAACGGCCAAAGTCGCGGGCGACGGGGATCATGAAAGACGAGCGTCTCGATCGGGTCAAGGAGTGAGCGATGCGTTGGACCCGACGTGGCGAGAGGCCGTCCGCTGCCTCGATGCGCGACCGTGCGTGCTGAGGTGATGCACGGCGACACGACGCTCCGAGACGACGTGACGCTGCCGCTGGTGTGCATGGGCGACTCGCAACGCAACGCCAGGCTCGGTGGGGGCGGCATCCTGGCGATGCGCGACGCTCTCGATCTCGCCGATGTGCTTGTCTCCAATGATGCGTTTGACGCCAATACGGGCAGTGTGCGGCAGCCGCCCCTATGCATGGCCGAGGCAGCGTTGATGGAGCGAAAGCAGGAGTTCCATGCTCAGGCGGTGTTGCGTGCTCACCGCACCAAGGAAAGCATAGAGAAGCACGGGCGCGGCGAGGGCAGCCTTGCGGACTACTACAGCGGCTGGAAGCTGGGGCTCGCGAGGCTGCTGCTGCCCAAGCTCGGTCGGCTAACGGGTGCGTGGTACCGCTACGATGAGTGGAGGCTGGGCCGAGTGGGCTCCGACGAGAGCACGATCATCTACCCCAACATGGATGCCGTGCTTGAAAAGGGAGTTGGCCGGTGATATGGGACGTGTGTCGTGCTGTGGATGCCTCTCCGATTACGGCCTTTTAGCCGACGTGGATTTAACCGGAGAGGCGACACCCTTCTGACATGTAGAGATGCGATTGTTGTGCTTGTGGGTCGCGCCAGCTGGATCTTTTTTAGGAGATGTCAAATGTGGATTGTGGTGTCGGGTGAGAGTGTGAGTGTGTTCGATCTTTCTTCTTTGATGCATGATGGCGGCGGACCGCGGACGGAGAGACCCAGAGCGCAGCGCGCTTTATGTGTTAGATTTGTTTGGTTATCGCCACTTTTCTCCTCGGTTTTTTACGAGCAGCGAGAGAGAGACAGCAGGCACACAAAATCACTGTGCGGGCTGCGGGGACGAGCGAGCAATCATTTAGTGCCTTGCACATGAAAGATTGGCCACTGCGCGCGGGCCGACGCCGGGGCGACGGCGCCGGAACACATACCGCGGGGAGCCGGACCAACGCCGACGGCATACTCACCGCAACTAGACGAGGCGGGCGCCTCCTGTATCGACGCATTCCTCACTGCAGCAAGCAATTCCCGCGTTGCTGCTGCTGCGGCGGTTGCTGCTGCTGCTGCTGTTGCCTGTACGGCTGGCCAGGGTACGCCGGCGCGGGTCCCGCAGGGCCATAGCCCTGCTGCGCCGCCAGCGCCTGCTCCCGCTGGAGCTGCATCTGCTGCATCTGCTGCTCGGCCAGCTGCGCCTGCTCCTCCTCCTCCCGCTGCAGCTGGATCGCCAGAGCCATGTCGGACGCCTCGTCCTGCGCTGGGCCCAAGCCCGCCGCCTCGCGCGCCTCCGCCTCGGCGATGTCGGCGGCGATTGCGGCGGCGGCCGCCTCCTCGGTGGCGGTGGTGGTGAGCGACTCCTCGACGCGCTCGAACTCGCTCGTGCAGAGCGTCGAGTCGCCGTCGATCTGGTTGAGCCTACGCGCGCGCGGCGGCGGTGGGCTCCTCTCGAGCACGGCTGCGCTCTCTGCGCGCTGTCGGGTCTGCAGGGCCGGCGCTGCGCTCGCCTCTCCCACACGACGAGCGGCTCGCGCGCGAAGCCGACGTCGGTGGCGAGGAGGTAGAGCTCGCCGCCGTGCTTCGTGATGGTTGCAAAGTGGTTGTTGCGGAAGAAGACGGCGAGCTCGGCCTCAGCGAGGGAAGCGTGCCTACGCACGGCAAATGCTGGCGGTGACTCCGCCTCCTCACAGGCTGCCGCCG